CAAACTAAATTTACTAAAAATAAATAAAAAGAGTAAAAATAAAGTTAAAATAAAAAATATTTATACAGGACACTGATTGGTGCACACCAGGATCCCACACCCGGGTGTGCACCCCCCACATAAAAAAAAAAGGTTGGACCGGATGATGGGTATTTTTTTTTTGTTTATATGGTATGTGCACACCCGGATGTGCACACATCATTATCCATTTATATATTTTAAAAATAAAAATGGATGGGTAATGTTATTGCTATACTCTCAATTATTAATATCATATCTTTTTATCCTAATTGACTATTATACCCTTTAATTTATTAAGAAACAGAAAAATATAAATTTTTTAGAAAAAGTGTGATGTAAGGGTATAATAAGTGTTTTTGGACCTAGTCCGGCCTGGCCGGTTGAACTGAACTTGGGCTTCAAAGTGGGCCAATTGATGACTTTGGCCCATTTTGTTAATTGGCCTATTTTGGCCCCCTAAAACCCGCCAACTCGCTAAGCCCGTTGAAACTGGTTCACCTGTCGGGCTAAAAATCAATTGGGAATTTTATTAGTTTTAATGTTAATTAAATTATTTTTTTATTTTTAACATAATTTATCCATTTTATCTCATATTTTGTACTTTATTACAATAAATACCATACACTTAAATTACAAATTAAAATATCAGATCAATTAGAAAAAAAAAAAACTCAGACAGATCAAGTTTTCTTTCCTATCTCAATGCAAAAACAAACCCTTTCCCATATCAAGCGAAGTCATCATTGATCTCAGCCTTCGTCGCTAGTCACATCCCTTTTCTCGATCTTAGCCTTCGTCATCGGTCACATCTCTCTTCCCGATCTCAGCTTTCGCCGGTCACATCCCTCTTCTTCATCATCAACCTCAACCTTCGCCGCTAGTCACATCCCTCTTCCCGATCTCAGCCTTTGCCACTAGTGACATCCCTCTTCTTGATCTCAGCCTTCGCCGGTCACATCCCTCTTCTTCTTCCATTGATCACATCCTTCTTCCCGATCTTAGCCTTCTCAACCTTCACCAATCACATCCCTCTTCTTCTTCCACCGATCACATCCCTTTTCCTGGTCTCAGCCTTCTCAGCCTTCGCCGGTCACATCCCTCTTCTTCTTCCACCGACTACACATATTTGCATATGCTCTCTCCTCTACCCGTCACCATACTCTTCTTCAACCAACAAAACTGCGTAAGATTTAAAAAATGTATGAGTAAAATCTATTAAAAATGTTAAAAAAAATGTTTTTAGTCAACTGGTTGGATCGATCGAGTGAATCAGTTCAATCGGTTCAACCAATTCAACCGAACTTGGTGACCAAAATGGGTCAACCATCGGGCCGAGTCCAAAAACATTGGGTATCATAGTCAATTACATTAAAAATGTGTGCTGTTTAGTATTTAAGGTGTGACAATAACCTTACCCAAAAAAGATATTTATTTAAAATAAATTTTGAGTCATTAAAAAATGACCATGTTATTTATTTAGAACTATCATATTTTATAACAGTAATTGTCATGGTGTGATAACCCAACTTTAAAGGAGTAAATTTCAATAGTACCATTATCTTTTTTTTTTTTTTATCTTGGCTACTATCACCCATAATAGTGCAACCAACTTTTGCCCAAATATTCTTTTTTTTTTTTATCTTTTAATCCAATCCATTTATATATCATATGAGTCAAATTTATGACATTTTGTTTCTAATGAAGGAGATAATTATTAAATTATTTAGGTTATTAGCATAACATTATTTTCTTTTCTTAGTAGTAGTACCATTGCTTCATTGTTATTTTTTTACTCAAAATTTGTCTAAAATTAGTTATTATTTTTTATTTTTTTAAAATAAGGCAAAAAAATATTTGTGAAATATTTTTATTTTGGATTTTATAAAATTTTTATAAATACTAGTATTAATTTAATAATAATTAATTTTAAAAAATATTTATTATAGCTGGAGTGAATGGAAAGGGCATGAGCAAGAGGTGCAGCAGCCAAAGATGATAACGGTTCCAGATGACGGCAGTCTTACAAGTGGCGATAGGGTACGGATGGGTTCGGTAATTGGATTTCAAGGCAAACAAAGGCATTTTTCTTCTACAATTTCCTAGATACATGGAGAGCAAAGGACTTATGGTATTGCTTCCAAAAGTATGGGCATGTCGTGGATGTGTACGTGCTTGGGAGAAGAGATAAGTGGGGGAAATGGTTTGGTTTTGTAGGTATGACCAGAGTGCAATCTGAAAAGAAATGGAGAGGAAGCTCAATGATCTATGGATTGGTTCACATAAGGTTTGGGTAAAGTTGTAGAGGATAGGAGGAGGCAAGTCTCAAGAGATGGAAGGACAATGAGGGTCTTAAAGGAAAGAAAACCAGTGTGCAAAATGTGATGACATGAATTTATATATATATTAATGTGAAATTTCTGCCTTGATATTATTAATAATTAGATGAATTTTATGAGATTTTATATCGTTTTCATTCTTTGTGTAGAAAAAGACTTGAATGCATAAAAATAAGAGTTTTTGAAATTAATTGAATATTTTTTGAAAGTTGAGGGACTGAATTGCAAGAAGAAGGGCACCTCTTTGGGACCTAAATGAATGAATCTTGAGTTTTGGGATCTAAGTGCTAATAGACAAAAGATGGAAGACCATATCTACCATTTTGCCATTGAAGAAATTGCAAAAGAGAGACTAGGAACTCTACATGGGTGTAGTGTCGACACATAATCGGGGTGTCAATACCGTGCGTTAAGTGTCCAGAATCAAACATTCTATTTCCTGTTGTGTTTAGCATCCAAAATTCAAGTTTTCTATTTTGTTTCAAATCCCACTTCTATTTCAATTAGGGTTTTTAAAATTCTATAAATACCCATCCAAATTTAGAATGGAGAGAGTTTTGGGAGGCTGGTGGCAGCCTTCTTTTGGGCATTATTGGATATCAAGATAAATGTTTCATCAACAATAGAAGATGAAGGAGTTTAATTCCCTCAAATTGGGTTTTGTTTTTCCTTATATTCTTTTTATCTATTGTTTGATATTTGAATGTTTATAATTATGATTTCAAGTTTTATTATTTTTATTATAAACTGATTTAATCAACTAGGGCTAAGACGTAACCTAATTAATTTAATATACGTTTTTATGATTTTTACACTTTTGAAATTGTTATTCCATGATGAGTATATATTATTGTTCTTAATGCTTTTTAATGCTTGATTACCATTAAAACTGATTTGGAGAGCATAATTGAGACCGAGCGAAGATTTTATGTAATAACTTCTAGTAATATATACCATGAATTGAACGAAAGCCAGAGATGGACCAACATGATTCAGGGGAAAGGTACCAAGATCATTGGCAAATTGTTGAATGCCAGAGTTTCTTGATCTTGGAAACAATCATATTAGATATATCTTCCCTCATTAGTTGGGAACTCTTCCCAGATTGAAGATTCTCATTTTGCATTTCAACAAATTCTATGGTGCAAATAATGTTCCAGGATCAATTCCTTATTTCCTAATCTTCAGATCATTGACCTTTCACATAATAGATTTGTTGGTCTTCTACCAACAAAATACTTCAGCGTGTAGAGTGCCATGGTAGATATTGATAAAGAGGACACGAAATATTGGCCTGCATATGACAATTATGAGTTGAATGGCTTCAT